CACCGACACACCTGTGACATCAACACACCTGTGTCATACCTGTCCTTCCTAAGCTCAGCTAATCAGGTACCTCTGCCCTTTGCCAGAAGGGCTCCAGCAGCACAGGGGGTGACACAGGGGTGTCACAGGTGATGCCACAGGGGTGTCACACGGGGGGGACAGGGGGTGACATCTCCTCCTCCCCAGGAGCTGAGAGCATCACCCTCAGAAAAGCCCTGAAGCAGCTGATGCAGGAGTGAGCAGGTGATGCAGGAATCAGGAGGTGATGCAGGGATCAGGAGGTGGTGCAGGAGTGTGCAGGTGATGCAGGAATCAGCAGGTGATGCAGGGATCAGGAGGTGATGCAGGGATCAGGAGGTGATGCAGGGATCAGGAGGTGATGCAGGAGTCAGGAGGTGATGCAGGGATCAGGAGGTGATGCAGGAGTGTGCAGGTGATGCAGGAGTGTGCAGGTGATGCAGGAGTGTGCAGGTGATGCAGGGATCAGCAGGTGATGCAGGAGTGTGCAGGTGATGCAGGAGGGAGCAGCTGATGCTGACCCCAAGCACAGCCAGCCCAGCCTGTGCCACTCCAGCACTGGCGAGCTGTGCCCAGCTCTGCCCCAGGGCAGGAATCCCGCAGGAGGAGCAGCCACAGCTCCCCGGGCAGCTGAGCTGTCCCCTGGCCTGGGGCTGTGCTCAGGGCAGCAGAGAAACCTCGGCCTTTAGCTGCCTGATTAAAGATAAGCTCAGCTTAAGCAGCCTGTGGAAACAGGATGCTCTGCTGGAGGGTGGCCAAAGGGAATTCACCGTGCCAGCCTGGGCTGCATCTGGCCTGCAGCACAGAATATCAATACCCAAAAATAAAATTTCATGCAGTGCCGATTTCATGAGATAAAACCTGTTTGATGATGGCTAAAATCGGCTCTCACAGAACCCCCTCCCTACAGGGTGCACTCCCTCAAGCAGCAAACCTCTCTGAGATAAGGAAGTCCATGTATACACAGCATAAGAGAGACTCTTCCATAAATCTCACAAAAATTAGTAACACATGTCTCCTCTGGCAGCTGATTGCCAACACTCAGTCAGGGAGGTCACCTGAAACCAAAAATACACTTGAATGCAGAAATGTCTCAAAGTCCCTTAAACTGAAGGGCTCTCACTCCTGTGCACCAGAGCAAGTTTCCCTTTTTTGTTTTCCCCACTGAAATGCTGTTACTGCACACGAACATTTCCTACACAAAGTGAGGAATATTCTCTTTTCTGCCTCTCAGTCTGACCATGCACAGCTCTGCAGGCACAGAACAGAGCCTGGCTCAGGGCTGCACACAGCAGAGCCCTGAAGGGAAGAGCTGCCTGCACCTTCCAGCTCCTGAGCAGGGCTGTGGGACACAGGAGACAGAATTCCTGCAGGATTTGGGGTTGTATTATGGTCTGTCTGTCCAACTGGTACAGCTGCTGTCTGTGCCAGTTTCAGCATCCCAGTTTCATGTAACTCTGTCTCATTCTTTGGCAACCATTTATAACCTGCCAAATCCCAGTTGTTACATCAGAGCATTGGATTTAGTTTCATTTTCACTCTTCCTCTCTTTTTCTTTTCCATCAGCTCCTTATTCATTTACTCATTATTTGTCACTACACCTTTCACTGATAATATGCAGCTGCAAACACAGTTGGCTATGCAGAGTTTACACAAGGGAATAAACAGCATTTCTTTTAAAAGCAACCATCACCTCAAGCCCCAGAAGGAACAGAAATGCCTCAGTCCTGAGAAGCTGCTGTCCCTCGTGTGCTGTCCTTGCCCAGGGAGGAGCACTCAGTCAGTCCCACCTCCCTTCCCAAGCCAAAGGAACCAGAACTGACACTCCTCTTCTAGCGACCCTACAGCAAGAGATTCTCACGTGCTTCTTTTTTTTTTTTTTGCCAAATGATTCTCAAATAAGAGTGGATTTCACTTTAGATGGCTTTACAAGGCTCCTGCAGCCTAAAGGATGAGTCCCCTCTTCGTTAAACCCCAGTGTGAGGGAAGGGCCATCCTGCTGACACAGCCAAGGCTTCACTGAGCACGAACCCAAGACAAGGCTCCAGGAGCAGCCCCGAGGTGCCAGCCCTGCCCAGGCTCGTGCCCATCCCTGCACTCACAGATGCTCCTGAACGGAGCCATCCCAGCCCTGCCAAGGTCAATGACGCCCTGCCCGTGCCAAGCCACGTTCCCAGGGTTTGGCTTTCCCCCCAGGCAGCCTCCACGCACTCTGGATTTGCTATTTCCAGCTTTCCAGTAACAGGGGATGTTAATCTGTTATTGTTCATGTCACAAAGCGTTACAGCACGAGATGTCCAAGGCCCACGGCGTGGCCAAGTTAGCTGGGAGCTGGGATTCACAATTTCCTGCTGTTCCTGCCACGGAGCACTCAGCAGAGAGCAAACCATGTGTCATCCCCCAGCTGAACCAGGAATACCAAACCCTCTCACTAAGGGCCGTGGTGATTGCCAAAGATAAACAAATCAGCCTATTCAAAGTCCTCTCAAACCCCATCTGATAAGCGGGAAATACTTATTACCTTTCAGCCAGCAAATCAACCTAATATTAATGATTTTCTCCATGACCTTCTAAGCACATGAAAGTTAACTCAATAAGGTCAGCAAGAGGATATCCAAGACAGATCTCTCAAGCCCTCCAAGGCAAGTAACAAACCACTCTGCTTCCCTGACTTTGGCAGAGTTCCTGCATGCAGATCCCAGCAGGATTTGCCAGCTGCCCGTGGCACACAGTGAAACACAGAGCTCTCCTTTTTCCTCCAGTTAACTGCAAAGCCAATCCAGCACAGGATGCTGTTACCCCGGTGCCACAGAGCCAGAGGGGGGTGGATGAGCAGGGCTGGGGC